AGGTATCCAGACGAGCTTTTTTTCTTTATTCCTACAGAGTAAACTAACACGTATCTAATGTATAGATATAGGCATTAGTGAAAGGTTGTTCATTATTATTTGTATATATAAAATGAATTACATCTACAGTCCTTATACTATACTATACTATACTATATCGTCAGAAGCAATAGCATACATAATGATATGAAAATTACTTATTCATATACGAGTACATTTTTCCTACACCTGTAAGCAAAAACTAATTGTAAAATTGTAGAATTCTGCTCTGGAGTGATCTCTCAGCATGTCTTTTGTTCACGATTGAATTTTTTTGTTTTTTTTGTTTTCTTTTTGAGGGTTTTTAAAAAAAGTTAATAACAGCTAGCACATAGCTAGGGTATCCTTCTGCTTGTATAAAGGAAGTGACAGGAAAGGAAGTTAAAACAGCAGGTTACATGCACGTCTTAGCTCGTAAATGGTATTTTAATACGCAAAATGAAATGTACTTTTATTTGTTGCTTTAGTCACTTGGTGTATTTACTGTACTGTATTTGCTGTTGCAAATGCCGACGTATTTGCAGTCGTTTAATCAACGAGTCCTTATGCACAAGTCCGTGTGTATATGTCCTGTTCCTTTACCAATTTGAAGTTTAGAACTTTCTTTGCATTCGTTTATGTACCGCCATTATTGCTGCTGCTATTGCAACTCTTTCCACATGATTCTCCTGCTGCTGCTGTTGTTGCTGCTGTTACTGCTGCTGTTGCTGTTGCTGTTGCTGCTGCTACTGCTGCTATTATTGCTTCTTTTGTTATTTCTTTTGTATTCAGTTGGTACATATAAACACATCCTGTGCAAAGTGTACTCGTACAAACGGTTAAGTAAGTAAACGTATGAAACCTAGACCCTTCAGTGCCTCGATTTCATATATACTTTTATAATTGTGTTTGTATGTAAGCACTTTTTTACAAATTATTGTTGTTGCTTTTCTTTTCTCTCAAGCTATAATTTAAGCTAAGCTGCGTACGTGTTTTATTTACAGAAGAGAACATAAGACTTCAACTTCAAATTCAACTTATGCCTCATATAATACATAACACTTAATACGTTATACATATACCTATACGTTATACGTTATATGATATACGGTATACAGTATAAGTAATACGTAATACGTAATACGTAATTGGTCTGTTTTAATGTGTATTGTTCACAAATAATCAGCAGGATTAAAAGGATATGCATACAGCCTTCACCCAATGTCTGATTGAAATTTTCCGGTGTAGACAATAGTTGGAGTTGTTGAGTTATTGATTTCGTTCCAAAATTTTGCCACTAGTTTTTTCCTTTTAATTTTCGTTAGATTGCCTATACCTTTATACTAGAATTCATACTAAAAGTCTTATTCGAATGTCTTGGTAGTATTATCCTGGTCGTAACTCGTAACTTTGACTCGTCCAACTCCTCCTATAATAATTGCTGTTTTTCCAATTCATTGCATTTTAATGGCTTAAGTAAATGAAAATAGAGTTTCAAGTTTCCTTTGGAATCATTTTTCTCTTTAAATTTTTTTCCTTCCTATATATTATTTTATTTTTAGTTTTTTTTTTTTTTGTTTTGTATAGTCAATTTGAATGGTTCTGGGTGGAGTGTGCTGCATACTTTGTTATTACAATGTTTTATGTTGACTGTATGGTGTATGGTCTATGGTGTATGGTGTATGGTAGACACAAAATAAAAACGTTTTGAACACTCCTTTCAGCAGTGTTAATGTCCTTCGTGGAGACGCCACAAAGTAACAAAAAGAACTTCTTTACATCAAACGAAAGGGGAGCTCAAACGTAATTGACTAAGTTATTGAAATTTAATAATCAACTTACGAAAGCAAAGGGTTTGGCTTCCCATTTTTAACTCTACGCCTTTAAGATGCATTATGTATTTGGTGTTATAATTTGTGTAAATAGATTAGTCACGGTATTAAAACATTCTTTTCAGTTTAATACACGATAATTTCGTGCCTGCCTGCGTGCTAATTTTCTAGCTTTTTAAGGCTTTTCATGGGGCATTCATTTTTGTGAAGGCAGTCAAATTTTATGAAGATTGAGAAAAGGTTAAAAGGCTTAGGATAGTTTACTAATAACAAAAGCAATGATACTATTTGCTTTAGTATTATATATTGTGAAAAGTATAATGAAATTATTGTACTCTATATGGACTGATACATGAACAAACAGAGTGGGAGTTGGGTAAGATTTTATACTTTAACACAAGCACTGATTGCTTTCTTTTCGATATAATTCATAAGAGAAAAAGTCAACTTTTTGAACACAGTTTTGTTTTAGAAAATACATAGCATATATATATTGATATAATTTTATATAGATATATTAAAAAAACTTTTTTCACAATATGTACGTATGATTTTAACTTGGAATTTAAAAATATTAATTGTTGTAAAATATTATAGGTTAGATCACCCAATC